AATTCCAATCCTTTGTGGATTGCTTCGCGGGATACCATCAGATCTGGATGGATGAGGAAGACGCCGAGAAAACATCCTTTATCACTTTATAGGGGATGTATTATTACAAATGATGTTGTTTGGCCTAAAGAATACTGGGGCCACTTATATGAGAGCCATGACGACCATTTTCCATGACATGATTCACACAGAAATAGAGGTATACGTGGATGACGTCATTATCAAATATAGAAGAAGCGTAGATCATATAGCAGATTTAAGGAAATTCTTTAATCGACTTCGGAGGTACAATCTGAAACTGAATCCTATGAAGTGTGCCTTCGGAGTCCCTGCTGGAAAATTGCTAGGTTTCATCGTCAGTCGCCGGGGGATTGAATTGGACCCCTCAAAGGTCAGAGCCATAAAAGATTTGCCACCTCCGAAGAGCAAGAAAGATGTGATGAATTTCTTGGGGCATCTTAATTACATCAGCCGATTCATAGCATAGTCAACTATGATTTGTGAGCCAGTTTTCAAAATGTTAAAGAAAGATGTTGCAACAAAATGGACTGAAGAATGCCAAAAAGCTTTCGACAGAATCAAGGAATACCTATCCACGCCACCGGTCTTGGTCCTGCCGGAACCTGGTAGACCTTTGCTACTATATTTGTTCGTACTAGATAGAGCTTTTGGTTGTGTTTTGGGACAGCATGACAAGACAAGAAGAAAGGAACAAGACATATACTATCTGAGTAAGAAGTTCACACCCAATGAGGCACGATATTCTTTGCTGGAACGCACCTGCCGTGTCCTGACGTGGATAGCTTAGAAATTGAGGCACTACTTCTATGCCTACACTACATACATCATATCAAGTATGGGTCCCCAGAAAAACATCTTTCAGAAACCAATGCCTACAGGGAAACTAGCAAAATGGCAGATATTGTTGAGTGAATTTGATATCGTCTATGTGACCCAGAAGGCGATCAAGGGACAGGGACTACCAGATCATCTTGTGGAAAATCATGTGCGAGGGGAATACGAACCATTGAAAACGTATTTTACCGATGAAGAAGTGTTATTTGTAGGAGAAGACATTATCGAAGCCTACGACGATTGGAGAATGTTCTTTGACGGAACTACAAATTTCAAAGGAGTAGGTATTGGAGCAGTTTTGGTGTCAGAGCCAGGTCAACATTATCTTGTATCCGCGAATCTCAAGTTTCCATGCAACAACAATATGGCAGTATATGAGGCTTGCATCATGGGGCTCAATTTGGCCATCGACATGAATATGCAAGAGTTGTTGGATTGGTGATTCAGATCTTCCGGTACATCAAGTTAAAGGAGAATGGGCTACAAAGAATACTAAGATACTACCATATCTATATCATGTGCAAGAGTTGATGAAGTGGTTAATGAAAATAGAATTCAAACACGTTCCGAGGATCTAGAACGAGTTTGCAAACGCATTGGCCACTTTCTCTTCCATGATACATCATCCAGATAAGAATTTCATCAACCCCATCCCAGTAAGGATCCATAGTCAGCCAGCTTCTTATGCTCATTTTAAAGAAGAAACAGAGGGAAACCCATGGTACCATGATATCAAGGAATACTTGGCAAAAGGAGAATACCCGGAGCATGCAAGTCATACTTAGAAATGCACGCTCTGGAGATTGTCCAATAATTTCTTCCAAGTGGAGGAATTCTGTATAATAGGACTCCAGACCTAGGGTTATTACGGTGTGTTGACACCAAAGAAGCTTCCAAATTGCTCGAGGAAATACACGCAGGAACCTGTGGGCCACACATGAATGGTTTTATTCTAGCCAAGAAGATATTAATAGCAGGATACTTTTGGATGACTATGGAAACAGACGGACACATGTATGTCCAAAAGACTTCTGGATGACTATAGAAACAGACGGACAAATGTATGTCCAAAAGTGTCACCAGTGTTAGGTACATGTAGATATGATATGAGTACCACCAAATGAACTCAATGCAACAAGTGCACCTTGGCCTTTTGCCGCTTGAGGAATGGATGTCATCGGTCCGATTGAGTTTGCCTCTTTAAACGGGCACACGTTCAATTTAATGGCCATAGACTACTTCATAAAATGGGTTGAGGCTGCATCCTACAAGGCTGTAACCATGAAAGGCATCACAGATTTTTGTTAGGGATCGTATTGTTTGCCGATTCAAGGTACAGAATCCATCATTACCGGTAATCATAGGCTAAAAACTCGTGTTTTAGTCGTTGTAACAACACTTTAATTATTGCATTTTACAAAGGTTTGAGCTTAAATGATAATGAATTGTACTAAATTCATGCTTTATACCTTGCAGGAAGCTAATCCGACTTAAGAATTAAATTTGGGATGAATTTGATTAATTTCGGGCTTTGAAGTCTGAGTGAAAGCTAAATAAATCAAGTCGGGATCGTGTCGGGGGTCGCAACGCAAGCCTGGATAGCAAACAAATGAAAAAGCGAAGCAGCGCAAAATATTGCACTACACCGCTGCGTGGGGCGGCGCGGCAGTGCAAATATTTGTGATGCATTGTTCTGCTCCATTAAAATGTATTCTGCCTCTGTCCACTCCATGTACGCACCGCACGGGGTGTCGCGGATGTGTAAAAATTGCAGATAATTGTTAAAACCCATTCCTACATGATTAAAAAGGGTATAACATCCATTATTGAGGGGGCAGGCCTGTTTTGAGAGAGAAAAGGAGGAGGAGATCCATCTTGGAGGATCAAAAAGGAGACAATACTTTGGAGCAAGGATTAAAAGAGTTTTTCTAAACCTTCTTCTAGTGTCTATTTATTTTATGTTTAAGACTTATATTGTTGATGTTTGTATAATTATGAGTGGCTAAAAACCCAAATATTCTGGGGTTATGGGTGTTAGATGATTATGTTGTTTGAATCTTAAATTGATGATCTTGAATTTATCGTTAAGGGTTGTTTATTTAATTCTGCTGTTAATTATTTTAATGCGTAGCTAACAGTGAAATACTATTTATGAATCTTGAGTTAAACTTGAAAAAGAAAATTCTTGATTGCATATAGAATCAAATAGAATAAGATCTGGATCTTGGACATGGGGTGAAAGATTTGCGATTAAGATAGAACTATACTTAATTGCCTTGTTTGGTTGAAAAATAGGAATTGTAAATGCATTTGAGTTAATATTGATGCCATAGAAAAATAGGTATTAATTTAACTTGAATAGGTGCATAAGAATTCGACAGATTCTTATGGATATTATCAACCCTATAATCAATAACCCAGATAATTCAATAAATCATTTTTAAGCTAAAAGCGTAGCATGATCTCTAGCAAGCCCATAACTATGGAATATCTCTCTTATTAATTGTTAAAAGAAAATTTCATAAGTGGCATAGTAACTTTGCGTTGTATTATTGTTTGTCTACTAGTTAAATTATAAATTGGTTATTTGTGTATTTTGTGATGAATTAGCTTGAATCGATAATTGTTTGAGTTTGCATCAGTTGATAAGTTGATCATAAGTCCTCGTGGGAACGATACTTTACTTATTACTATATTACTTGAAGATCGCGTACACTTGCGTGAGTGTTTTGATTGCAACAAGATTTTGGCGTCGCGGCCGGGGACTTAGAAATTAGCTACTTGACTGAGTTAAGTTTTTATCAGCTATTGGTTTAAGCATTAATTTTCAGTTCACTTTGTTTGTGTCACGCAGGCTCTTCTCTTGAATGCGGAGGAGTATAAGCACAAGCAATCTCTTCCCTCTTGATCCTAAAATTGAAAGAACACTTCATAGAGCGAGGAAGGAGTTGGAATCTAGATACAAAACAGAAAGAGAGTTGGACATTTTGGTTCAACCACAACCAACAGTGATGGCAAGTAATGGAGGGCGTCCAGTGATAGAAGCTGCAAGGTCAAATCTTGCTAATATGACTCAAGCTATTGTGAAGCCTGATATCACTGGTCACTTTGAGCTTAAACAGTACATGGTACAGCTGATTCGGTCCACTGGGCAATATGTAGGTCTATCTCATGAAGACCTGCAGAGGCACATTCAGAATTTTTTGGAAATCATGGATACTTACAACTATCCAAATGTTTCCAAGGACTATGTCAGGATGACCTTGTTTCCTTTTTCATTTTTAGGGGAAGCTAAAGAATGGTTGCAGAAGGAGCCTGCTAATTCAATCCATACTTGGTATGATTTAGCAAAGAAATTCTTAATCAAATTTTTCCCCACTAAAAAGACAAAATCTTTGTGGAGCCATATTCTTGGGTTTCAACAATGGGATGGTGAGACTCTTCGCCAAGAATGGGAAAGATACAAGAAACTACTCCGAGACTGTCTACATCATTGTCATACTAATGAGGTACTAGGCCATACTTTTGTTGATGGATTAGATGAGACTTCAAAGATGAATCTTGATTCAACTTGTGGAGGTAGTTGCATGGCGAGACCATATAGTGAAATACAACTTCTGCTAAACAACTTCACTGCTAATGATCATAATTGGCAAGGTGAGGGAGAACCAAGGAGAGCAATGAAATAGAAGGCAGCAGGGGTACTTGAAAAAGATGACTTTTCCTCCATGAGAGCAGATATAGCAAAATTGGAAAATCATTTGAATAGAATGACAATGAACCAAACACAACAAATGCAACATGTTCAACAAATGTCGATTTGTTGTGAAATGTGTGGTGACAATCACACGAGTGACATGTGCCCAACGAATCCTGAATCTATTTATTATGTGGGACAACAAAGCAGAGGTCTGATGAATCAACAAGCACAATATGGGAACACTTACAATCCAAATTGGAGGAATCATCCTAATTTCTCCTAGGGTGGAAATCAATCAAATAAGAATCAATATAGACTCCAAGGAAATTTTAATAAACCTTAAAGGCCACCCCAATAGGTAGAAGAAAGTACAAATGATTTGTTGAAGAAATTGTTGAATGACAATCAACAACTCAGAACTGATTTCAGAAATCTTGAAAGACAAATGGGACAATTAGCTGCAAATCAAAACACTAGGCCTGCAGGTGCTCTTCTAAGTGATACAGAGAAAAATTCGCAAGTTAGTACAATTACACTTAGAACTGGAAGGGAATTAGAAGAAGTTCCAAAGAAGAGAAAAGACAAGCTTATACCTGAGGGTGAATTGATTCCCAAACCAACACAAGAAACAAATAAAGATGATACAGTTTCAGTGCCCATGAATGTTCCAAGGCACCACCACCTTTTCCACAAAGATTGAAGAAAACGAATGATGATCGTATGTTCAACAAATTTCTCTCTATGTTGAGTCAGATTCAATTGAATATTCCGTTGGTAGATGCGATTCGTGAAATTCCAATGTATGCCAAGTACATAAAAGATATTGTGGCTAACAAGAGGAGATTGACTGAATTTGAAATAGTTGCACTTACTGAGAAGTGCACTTTAAGGGTCCAAAATAAGCTTCCTCAAAAGCTTAAGAATCCTGGCAGCTTTACTATCCCTGTGAGAATAGGTAATTTTGATGTAGGCCATGCACTTTGTGATTTGGGAGCAAGCATAAATTTGAAGCCAATGTCTTTGTACAAAAAATATTGGGTTTGGGAGCTCCAAAACCCACCTCTGTGATGTTGCAACTAGCAGACATGTCCATAGCTTACCCGGAAGGGGTGATTGAAGATATGCTGCTGAAAATTGGGAAATTTATTTTCTCAGCTGATTTCATTATCTTGGATTTTGAAGGCGATGAAAAAGTTCCTATTATATTAGGAAGACCTCTCTTGGCTACATGTGATGCTATAATTAAAGTAAGAGAAGGAAAAATGATCATGAGAGTTGACAATGAGGAAGCTGTTTTTAATGTATACAAAGCAATTCAACTTCCTCGCCATTATGAAGAATTGTCTATGATATCTATCATGGAGATGGATGAGCAACTTATTGCCCCAAGTGTATATTTGAAGGATTCTTTAGAGAAAGCAATCGTGTTGTTCGAGAGTTTGGAAATTAATGATGAGGTTGAAGAGATGAAGCATATTTTGAATGCATCATGTGAATATATGAAAGGTTTAAATCCTTTTGAACTTTGAACAGGTCAAATGGTCCTCCTCCGAAGCCATCAATTTAAGAAGCTCCAAAATTGGAACTAAAGCCTTTACCTTCTCACCTTCATTATGCTTATTTAGGTAGTTTTGATACGTTGCCTGTTATTATTTCTTTTGACTTGTCTAAATTGCAGGAGGAAAAATTGCTGAGAGTTCTACGTGAGCATAAAAGAGCAATTGGGTGGACAATATCTGACATAAGAGGTATTAGTCCAGTTTTTTGCATGCATAAAATCCTCATGGAGGAAGGACACAAGCCGAGCATAGAACAACAACGCCGCCTAAATTGATAGCAAATGGGTAAGTCCAGTACAATATGTTCCAAAGAAAGGGAGAATGACTGTAGTGACAAATGAAAACAATGATCTGATTCCCATTCGAACTGTTACTGGGTAGAGGATTTGCATAAATTATAGAAAATTGAATAATGCCACCCGAAAAGACAATTTTCCTCTCCCCTTTATTAACCAAACGCTTGATAGATTAGCTGGACAAGAATACTATTGTTTTTTGGATGGCTACTCGGGATATAATCAGATTGTTATAGCCCAGAGGACCAAGAGAAGACCACATTTACATGTCCCTATGGGACATATGCATTTAAAAGAATGTCATTTGGTCTCTATAATTCACCTGCGACTTTTCAAAGATGTATGCTGGCTATTTTTACTGATATGGTTGAAAGATTTATGGAAGTATTTATGGATGATTTTTTTTGTATTTGGATGTTCTTTTGATGAATGTTTAATGAATCTTGACAAGGTACTTGCTAGGTGTGAAGAAACAAATTTGGTACTGAATTGGGAAAAATGCCATTTCATGGTAAGAGAAGGTATAGTCCTAGGGCATAAAGTGTCAAAGAATGGATTGTAGGTAGATAAAGTAAAGGTGAAAGCAATTGAAAAATTACCTCCACCAACATCAGTTAGAGGCATTCGTAGTTTCTTGGGCTATGCAGGTTTTTATCGTCGTTTCATTAAAGGTTTTTCAAAAATTTCATCTCCTTTGTGCAGGCTTCTTGAGAAAGATACATCCTTAAAGTTTGATGATGCTTGTGTGAAAGCATTTTATGAGTTGAAAAAAATATTAGTTACTGCACCAATTATCATTGCTCCAAATTGGAAACTTCCATTTGAGTTGATGTATGACGCAAGTGATATAGCCCTTGGAGCTGTTTTAGGGCAGCAGAAGGAGAAAGTCTTTTACTCCATTCATTACGCGAGCAAAAAACTTAATCCAGCACAAATGAATTACACTGTTACTGAAAAAGAGCTGCTTGCAGTAGTATGGGCATTTGATAAGTTCAGATCCTATCTAGTAGGAACCAAAGTTATAGTTTGCACAGATCACTCAGCTATCAGGTATTTATTTGCAAAGAAAGATGTCAAGCCAAGGTTAATCTGATGGGTTCTTCTTTTGCAGGAATTTGATTTAGAGATTCGAGATCAAAAAGGTACAGAGAATCAGGTTGCAGATTACTTATCCAGGTTGCAAAATCGAGGCCATGTCACTGAAGGAGAATCAATCAAAGAAACATTTCCTGACGAACATTTACTAACCATCACTTTGGATGAAACCTCGTGGTATGCTAATTATGTGAATTTTATTGCAAGTGGGGTGACTCCGTCAGAATTCACAGTTGATCATAGAAGAATATTTTTACATGACGTGAGATTCTACATGTGGGACGAGCCTTTTCTATACAAGCAATGCGCAGATCAATTGGTAAGAAGGTGTGTCCCTGAGGAGGAGATGAATGCAATATTGCATGACTGTCATGCTTCTATTTATGGAGGTCACCATGATGGAGACAGAATGGCACAAAAGGTTTTGCAATCAGGTTTTTACTGGCCAAAATTGTTTAAAGATGCACATGCTTTTATTAAAAATTGTGACGTGTCAAAGAACAGGTACAATCACGAAGAGGAACGGGATGCCTTTGCAAAATATTTTGGCAGTAGAGCTCTTTGATGTCTGGGGAATTGATTTCATGAGACCTTTTCCATACTCTAATGGGCACAGAAACATTTTGATTGCAGTCGATTATGTGTCTAAGTGGGTTGATTCCATTGCTCTTCCTACTAATGATGCAAAGGTAGTGGTAAGTTTCGTAAAGAAGTACATTTTCACACGCTTTGTAACAAATTGTTGAAAAATATTCTGGCAAAATATGAGGTAAGACACAAGGTTGCTACTGCATACCACCCTCAAACGAGTGGTCAAGTTGAAGTGTCAAACAGAGAAGTAAAATAGAGTTTGGAGAAAATAGTGAGTGCAAATAGGAAAGATTGGTCCGGTAAATTAGAAGATGCATTGTGGGCTTACCGAACTGCATAAAAGACTCCAATAGGTACTTCTCCGTACAGGTTGGTTTACGGTAAGGCATGTCATTTGCCCGTTGAGCTAGAACACAAAGCTTATTGGGCAATCAAAAAGCTAAATATGGATATGGACTTAGCCGGTGAAAAAAGACTTCTACAACTCTGATGAGTTTCGGTTGCATGCTTATGAAAATGCCAAGTTGTATAAAGAAATGACCAAGAGGTGGCATGACAAGCACATCCAACATCGTGAGTTTGAGCCGGGTCAAGAAGTTCTCTTGTTTAATTCAAGGCTAATGCTTTTTCCAGGAAAGCTTAAGTCCCATTGGCCAGGCCCTTTCGTTGTGGTAAGTGTGACTCCTCATGGAACAGTTGAATTGCAGGACATAAATTCAAGTGATAAATTCTTGGTGAATGGGCAGCGGGTAAAACACTATTGGGGTGGTGATATTAAACGTCACAAGACCTCAGTAGATTTGGTGATGCATGATAAAGTGTTGAGTTGTGCCGCGAAGTTAAATTAGGCGATTGTTGGGAGGCAACCCAATGACTAACATCACTAACTTTTAATTGTAGTTTAGAAATATTAGATTTTAGATGTTATAATGTTTTTAGTCAGGTGCAAGCATGAATTTGGCATAAAATCAGTGTATAATGATGTAGGGGTGTAAATTGTGAGCTAAAAATCGAATAATAGGCTAACTTTGTGAAAAATTGGCCTACCGCGTCGCATGGGGCGTTGTGCCATACACCGCGACAGGCAAAATTGCACAGACGAGGCCGAATGCAAAATTTTCGGAGTAGCTATGATTTTTGCACTACCGCACCGCGGAGCGCGACACGACAGTGTGTTTTATATAAATTATTTTAAAATAAACCCTTTAATAACTGAACCCTCCCTTCCCCTTATTTCATTATTTCATCTTTCAAAACTCTCTGCCTCTCCAAGTCTCACCCAAAAAGCCCCAAACAATTTTATTCAACAAAATCCATCCTCAAATCCTTCTTCTATTTGCAAGGTAAGTATTCTCTTCTCTCTTTTCCTTCAATCTAGTAGTATTTCATTTTGTATTTCTTTCTTATTTTAAAGTATATTTGTATAAACCCTAGCAAGAATTGTGTTCTTAATTTTCTTTTAGTTTCTTTTGTTAATATTGTTAAAAATAGTATTAGAAACCTAGAATGTATATTCTTTTTTGTGATTATGGAGGATTTTAGGTTGTTTTGAGGTAAAATAGGTTGAGTTTCTTGTTGACGATTGTTGAGGGGTATACTAATTCGAAAATACATGTAAGAATGTGAAAACAATTGTGTATTGAATATTATTGTGAAGATGTGGTGATATTATAGTTGTGATGTGAGGCATATTTGTGTTGTTGATATGGTGATTATGCCTCATTTGAAGTTGAAATTTTAAGAATACAAGACATGCTTACAATGTGTTTGTTAAAATGTCTAAGTGACATGAAATGGAGTAATGTTGCAAAATAAGAAACAAATTGCATTGCAAGATGTTATTATTGATAACAATTATAACATTAGGCTAAACCATGATTTTTCGCTTGCTTTATGTAAAAATGAGATTTAAGATTCATGCTAATGTACCTATGTAGTATATTTTGTATAATAATTTTGAATTTTGTAAAATGGACTAATTTCTTTTTATGTTTATGTCTAATATTTTCTAGCCTACTTTTTGATTTTTATTTTATTTTTAATTGTTGTAATTCTCTCTAATGATTGGGTAGGATGATAAGCATTATATCATTTTAATTGAAGAACAGGTTAGTCTGAATCCTTGTTATATATGCTAAGTGTCAACATGATAATAGCATAAGTGTGGGGTATTTACTCCACTTGCTCTTAAAATGATTTGTGTTTTTTTAGCTAATATATCATATTGTGTAGGTATAATTTCTCGGCGCCCAAGCAAAAGATCAAACGCTGGCCTATCTGAGGCTGCATCTACTAGCCGACATGGAGGTAGAACGGCACCACCTCCGGCACCAGTTGAGGAGGAAGAGGAACACTTTGACCCTGATGCAGATGAGGTGCCAGAGTGCAAATATGGCATCAGCACTATTCCAGCCCATACAATATAATGGTTCCAATCCTTTGTTCCTGCTGTGCCACCAACTCCTGAAATTGCCATAGATGAAACAAAGCTCGCTCGTAAGTATAATGCAATATATATTAACATTCG